AAAAAAAAAAATTTAGGATCCTCTAGTGGGGATGAAAAACAGATTCAAGCCAAGGTCATGCTCTTCTTGGGCAGCCTCCAGCTGCTAGTGCCTGACCACTTTTGCCCAATGTGGGATACTTCAAAAAAGAAATCTTTGCTCCGGAGTTACTTCTTCGGTTGGCTGAGAGTTACTTCTTCGGTTTGATCACCTTAAATCGGGGTGAGAGTCAAGGGATAGTGGTAGAGGACAGGGCATATCTGTTGGAAACCTGGGATAATGACAGTGATTTTGTGGTTCTCTGAGGAAGTTCAGCCTGCCCTATGAAGCCTGGTCCTGCCTACCTGCTTTCCTGAGGTCCTACAGGGGCCTGATTCAGCTGACCATGGTGGACCTCCAAGAAAACGAATCTGTTGGTTTGAATTGCTACGGTTGGAAGAGATTTCCACTTGTATTCAGGGAGACATGGGACAGAGAAGCTTCCTCCCTGTGCCTCACAAAGGCATAATGGCTCTTCATCTAGTTTATTTCTGACCCACAAAAGCAAAAACTACTTAACTTTCTACCATTCACTACCATTTACCACTGCTCAAGAGATGCTAATTGCCTGCCCTAATTGCTAAGGAGTCAAAATCACAAGAAGGCAAATAGAAATAACCCATTTAAGGAAAATGATTAACTAGAGGGAGGAAGACTAACTTGAACAATTAGACAGGTGGCTCCCATTAATGTAGAAAGGAAGAGTCAGAAGGGAATTATTAAATAATTAAACAAATTAATATTTGTAAAATGTTTAGAACAGTTCCTGTCATATACATGTTTGTTAAATAATAAACTATAACAAGAAGTAATGAGAACGCCCAAGGATGTGGAATCGGAGCACAAAAAAGACCCTGTAGAACCAGAAAGTATGATTTTAGAAATTCAAAAATTCAGAACAAAAATCTTGCAAGCTTCCAAGCAGAAAGAACACATTCTGGTTTCCAGCTGATTTGGACAACAGGAGGCATTGGTGGATGGTTGGAGGCAGGGAATACGGAGAAGCCAGAGTATTTCTTCACTTCCTTCTGGGCCTCAGATAGCATCGTTAGTAATGATTACAGCTCCTCTGTAGCCCCAGCGCCTACCAGACAAGCTTCCACTGAGTAACCCTGGCCCCTGGGCTCCAGTAAAACCACTTCCTGCCTTTGACACCCGCCCCCAGCCTAGGGGCAGTAGATGCTCCCTGCCTTTCTTAATCTCTGGGCTGTCCCTTATTGTCCCCTGTTTGGTTTATCAATTCTTCCATTATCTGTGTAAACCATTCCCTGTATTTTTATATTCCCTCTATTTTATTTATTTATTTATTCATTCATTCATTCATTTAGTGATCTCTACACCCAACATGGGGCTCGAACTCATGACCCCAAGATCAACAGTCACATGCTCTTCCAACTGAGCCGGCCAGGTGCCCCGTATAGCCCTCTATTTTATTTTATTTTTTATTTTTTTAAAGATTTATTTATTTATTTGAGAGACACACAGAGAGAGTGCAAGCAGGTAGCGGGGCAAAGGGAGAGGGAGAGAGAGAATCCTAAAGGAGACTCCCCGCTGAGCGCAGAGCCCGACATGGGGGGCTTGATTCCAGGACCCCGAAATCATGACCTAAGCTGAAACCAAGAGTCAGATGCTTAATTGACTGAGCCACCCAGGCACCCCTCCCTCAATTTTAAATACTCAGAGCTGTTTCTATTTTCTGGTTGGACTCTGACTGACACTCTTACAAAGGAAAATAAACCAGGATTAGAGGTTTTTTCTTATAAGGCTATTTTTTTTAAAAGAGTTTATTTATTTATTTGAGAGAGTGTGAGAGTGTGAGTGAGAGAGCCCGAGTTGGAGGTGGGGGGCAGAGGGAGAAGCAGAGACCCACTGAGCCGGGAGTCTAATGCAGGGGCTCGATCCCAGGACCCTGAGACCATGACCTGAACTGAAGGCAGATGCTTAACTGACTGAGCCACCCAGGTGCCCCAGCACTAGAGTTTTAATATATGACACAGAAAGCTGGAAAACACTGGAATACCATCTATAGAATGTTGGGAGTAGAGGATTGCTGGCTGACAAACCTATACCAGGCTTTGACAGGCTGCTTCTAAAATGGCTCCCAGTAATCCTCACCTCCTGGTATTTACTCCCTGTATAATTCCCTCTTCTTGTGTGTGTGTTGGTCCTTGTGACTTGCTTATCACAGACTATGGCAAAAATGATGGGATGTCACTTTCATAATTAGGTTGTGAAAAATTGTGGCTTCTGTTCTGCTTATGTTCCCTCTCCGGCTGTTCTTGTACTCTGATGTAGAGAGCCATCTGGCAAAAAAACTGAGGACCTCAGTCCAACAGCCAGCGAGGAACTGAATCCTGCCAAAAACCATGTGACTGAACTTGGACATGGATCCTGTCCCAGCTGAGCCTTGAGATAAGACTGCAGCCCCAGCTGATAATTGATGGCAGCCTGTGAGAGACCCTGAGTGGACACATTGATGGAAATCCTGAGAGATTGTTAAGTAGATGACTCAGTTAGGCCATGCTATTCCTGACCTGTAGAAACAGTGAGATCATAAATGTGTGTTGCTTAAGCTAAGTTTTATTTTTTTTAAAAGTGGAATTCAAGATTAAAAGCAATAAACAATACAAAAAGGGGCATAAATTGTTCGATCTTTAATGAAGAGATGAGCCATAAACCTTTATGTACTAAATTGTTACAGCAGCTTAAGATTTAAAACAAAACTCTTAGAAACACAAGAAGATTTTGATAAAAACCACAACCATAATGGGAGATTATAATATACCTCCTTCAAAACTTAACTGATCAAGTACACAAGAAATAAGCTAGAAAATAGATGATTTGGAGGCATCTGGATAGCTCAGTCTTTTGAGCGACTAACTCTTGGTTTTGGCTCAGGTCATGATCTCAGGGTAACATGGGATTGAGCCCCCTGTTGGGCTCCACGTTCAGCGAAGAGTTGGCTTGGGATTCTCTCTCCTTCTTCTTCTGCCCCTACCCCCTGCTCGTGCTTGCTAAATAAATAAATAAATAAATAAATAAATAAATAAATAAAATCTTAAAAAAAGAAAATAGATGATTTTTTAAAAAAAGATTTTATTTATTTATTTGACAGAGAGAGACACAGCGAGAGAGGGAACACAAGCAGTGGGAGTAGGACAGGGAGAAGCAGGCTTCCCGCCGAGCAGGGAGCCCGATATGGGGCTTGATCCCAGGACCCTGGGATCATGACCTGAGCCGAAGGCAGATGCTTAACAACTGAGCCACCCAGGCGCCCCGAAAATAGATGATTTGATTAATATAACCAAAAAGCTTAATATATGACTATATATATATATATCCATATGCATCTAAAAATGTAAATTATTTTCTAATGTCCATTAACTGTGCTTCATCACAGACGAAAAACTTCATAAATTTAAGAGAAGAGAATTTTTTTTTAAGATTTTATTTATTTATTTGACAGAGAGAGACACAACGAGAGAGGGAACACAAGCAGGGGGAGTGGGAGAGGGAGAAGTAGGCTTCCCACCGAGGAGGGAGCCCAATGCAGGGCTTGATCCCAGGACTCTGGGATCATGACCTGAGCCGAAGGCAGATGCTTAACGACTGAGCCACCCAGGCGCCCCGAGAATTCTTTTTTTAAGTAAGCTCTACACCCAACATGGGGCTTGACCTCACAACCCTGAGATCAAGAATCACATGGTCTACCGACTGAGCCAGCCAGGCACCCCTAAGAGAGGAGATTTTAGAGGCTGCATTTTCTCATTGTCATCCAGTGAAATTAGAAATAAATAATAAAAGATGGTCAAAATATCTTTACTAGTTAGAAATTGAAGAACATCAATTTAATCCTAGATTAAAGAGAAAATAAAAACAGAACTCATAAAAAGTTTAGGAAGTAACAAAATGTGGATATACCAAATTCTATGGGATCACCTAAAACTTTAGAAGAAAATTTACAGTTCCGGGGCGCCTGGGTGACTCAGTCAGTTGGAGTATCTGCCTTCGGCTCAGGTCATGATCTCAGGGTCCTGGGATGGAGCCCTGCATCAGGCTCCCTCTGCTGCTTCCTCTGCTGCTCCCCCTACTTGTACTCTCTCACTCTCGCTCTTTCTCACATAAATAAATAAATGAAATCTTAAAAAAAAAAAAAACTTTCTAAAAAAAAAAGGAAGAGAATTCACAGCTTTAAATCAGGAATCACAAAAGTCTAGGTAGGTCATGGAGATGTACGAAGTGGCTAGATATAAAAGTGGAGGTGGGGCCTATGGAGACTTAGCAGGGACATGACTGCCCTGAAAGCACTGGAGTCCACCAGTCTGTGATACCCCCTTTAAATGCTTTTCGTATTAACAAAGAAAAAGGGCACCTGGGTGGTTCAGTCGTTAATTGCCTTCAGCTCAGGTCATGATCCTGGAGTCCTGGGATTGAGCCCCACCTCGGGCTCCCTACTCTGCGGGAAGCCTGCTTCTCCCTCTCCCATTCCCCCTGCTTGTGTTCCTGCTCTCGCTGTCTCTCTCTGTCAAATAAATAAAAATTAAAAAATATATATAAAAAAGGTTTTTAAAAAACCAAGGGAAAAAAATGGAAAATATGGAAACAAATCAACTAAAAACACAGTGGCAAAGCTGCACAATTATCTAAAAGAAAACATAAACGGAATTAATAAAGATAAAGCTAAAAAAATTAGTGAAACAGAAAATTGTCACAGGTTGGGTTCCCTGGGAAACAGATGCTGAGGAGGAAAGGATCCAAAAGGTTTATTGAGGAGTAAGGTCTGTGAAGCAGAAGAGGCAGGGCATGTTGGCGGCCCTGCAGACCTGACAAAGTCTCTGCCAGCTCACTGTGGAGCTGCACAGCAGAGATGTTCCAAGGATCCCGCATTGGGCAGAAAAGGCTATGCCCCAGTCCTTCCACCTTGCCCGGTCATTAGCCGTGGACATCCCAAGAGCAGTGTGACCCTCAGCTCAAAATCTGAGGTGGACTCTGAAGGTCCTAACGGCTGCCGGCACTCTTTGCGGCTGGGCAGTTAGTCCTTTCTGGAAGCGGGCTCTGAGTGTTGCCTCTCTGCCACAAAAACAATAAAAAGTGGTATAAAAAAATTAATAAAACCTCAATAAAACCAAAAGCTGGCTTTAAAAAAATTAATTCAGTTTATTAAAGCTTCCGCCTTTTGTGGCAGAATTTGCAAAATTGTGCTGCAAGTGGAATCTATGGGCACAGATCTGCAAAGAGGGGACATTTAGACTATGTTGAATGGTATCAGGTAAAAACAAGTAGCCTTCAAAGCCCTGCCTTCCACGGTGGGGCCTTTAAGTCCCTCATCGTTTTAAACCAGCCTTCCTTCCACTGCTCTGTAAATAAGGAACTGATTTTTAATGATCTGAAATTAAGAAAAAGCTACCCCTCCTAGAAAACCAGAGAGGATCGTTATATCAGGAAGGGCTTGGCTGGGACCTTGGACAGGGTATGTGAATGTGCCCTTGAATCCCTGAGGATTCAGAGATTTGGTGGACCCAGTTTGCCTCAACTGCCCAACTCCCTGAGATTTCCTGCCAGTTTCTGCACTGGCTTGACAGGCATAATTCAAATGGGAAAACCTCACAGTCATTCCAGTTTTCTGGAGCTCCATGATAACATGTAGTAACAGCTGATAGGATGTATTCCACACATTGTATTATGGAATTTCTTCAAGGAATTGCTAAAATATATGGAGCTGATTGTTTTGTAGTACTCCTACATGTTTTACCTAGATTAGATTCTAGATTGTCAATAGATCCATTAAATGGCTCTGGAGACTTAGCACAGTAACTATTCAGAACATTTGATCAACCTTAGTGGCAGAAATGGAAGAAACTGCACTGTCCAGTATGCTGATCACTAGCCACATGTGACTACCGAGCACCCAAAATGTTGGTAATTCGACTGGAAATGTGCTAGAAGTGTAAATACATGCAGGATGTCAAAGAGTTGGTATGAAAAAGAAAAAGGAATGTGAAATATCTCATAATTTTCCATACTGATGAATATTGATGTATTTTGGATATATTAGAGAAAATACATTAAGGTTTATTTGACCTGTTTCTTTTAACTCTTTTTAATGGAGCTACTAGTATTTAAAATCACACATGCGGAGGTGCCTGGCTGGCTCAGTCGGAAGGACGTGGGACTCTTGATCTGGTCGTGAGTTTGAGCCCCACATTGGGTGAAAAGATTGCTAAAATAAATTTTTAAAAATAATTTTTTTTTAAATCACACATGTAGCTCACATTTGTGACTTGCATCGTATTTCTATTGTACCGTGCTGCACGAGATATTTACTGTGAAGTTTCTTGAATCCCTGTTCTTTTAAAAAAATTATTTATTTTTTGAAATTCCAGTATAATTAACATACAATTTGAATTCCTCTTCTTTCGACTCACTCGGAGTTTCAACTAGCACAGCAATGTTGGTAAACCCATCCTTCTGGCTTGCTAAGGCTTTAACTGTATAAAGGCTGATGTATGTCATTACTGTGTTCATCTTCAGTTCTCCCTAATCTTTTGATTGATGGGGAGGTGATGTGAAGATATCCAGCGTCTATCCACAATGGAAAGTGCACATCGAGAGAGGGGAACATGATGGGAAGGTCCTAAGCAGGGGCAGCAACAAAACAACAAAACCCGCATTAAGTTATCCTGCCCCGCGTGTGATAATGGTTCCAGCGAGTCCTTTTGTTGACCGACCTGTGAAGGCCAACCTTCTAGGTGTGCATTCAGCTGAGATCCTGCGGCTGTGTACCACTGTGTACCGCCCGGGCACTCGGCTGGACATCTGGTGCAGGAGGATGAACCGAGCGGCGGCCGGGCAGTGCGGCTGGAGCGGCTCCAGGAGGGCCCAGGCACCGCGAGCCCGGCAGGGAGGGGGAGGGGGGTGGCGGAGAAGGAGGAGGAGGAGGTGGCGGAGGCGGCGACAAAGGAGGAGGTGATAGCATCCGGGGCCGCGACGCCGGAAGATGGGGCGGGCTGCTGCTTCCCTAAGCCCGGAAAACCCCGGAGTCACCGCTTCTGCGCGGCGGAGCCGATTCCCCGGAGCCGCCACCACCGCCCTGTCGCCTCCGCTGGGAGTGGCCGGGTCCCCGGGCTCCGCGTTCACGCGCCTCCCGCCTGATTCGGGGTTGGGCTTGCCCGCCCGCCCGCTCCCCAAAGCCGAGCTGGTTGGAAAGGACCAATAAAATAAATCAAACTCTTGGCTAGCCAGACTAAGGTAGGAAGGAAGAAAAGGAGGAAGGGGAGGTAAAATATTAGTAATGACGTTGTGGATAAAAACAGATCTATATTAAAAGACTTTAAAGAGAATCTCGTGTGCAACGAATGTGAATATACAGAAGGAATGATGGATTTCCTGGCAAACTATAAGCTACCAAAATTGGCCCAAGAAGGAGAAAACCGGAAGAGAGCAGTAACTGTAGAAGAGAATGGGAAGTCAGCAGGTCCGGGTGCTTTCGTAGCGAAGTCCTAGATAACCTTTAAGAAACAAATAATTTTAATGTCATTTGGTCCCTTCTAGACCAGTGTTTTTCAAAACATCTGTAGTGAAGGACCCGTTTTTTAAAAATTTTACAATTATTGTGGATATATACTTTTG